TTTTGTTAGTGCTTCTGCCTCTTCTTCTGCTGCTGCTGCGGCTGAATTTTGTTAGTGCTTCTGCCTCTACTTCTGCTGCTGCTGCGGCTGAATTTTGTTAGTGCTTCTGCCTCTTCTTCTGCTGCTGCTGCTGCGGCTGAATTTTGTTAGTGCTTCTGCCTCTACTTCTGCTGCTGCTGCTGCGGCTGAATTTTGTTAGTGCTTCTGCCTCTTCTTCTGCTGCTGCTGCTGCGGCTGAATTTTGTTAGTGCTTCTGCCTCTACTTCTGCTGCTGCTGCTGAATTTTGTTAGTGCTTCTGCCTCTACTTCTGCTGCTGCTGCTGCTGAATTTTGTTAGTGCTTCTGCCTCTTCTTCTGCTGCTGCTGCTGCGGCTGAATTTTGTTAGTGCTTCTGCCTCTACTTCTGCTGCTGCTGCTGCGGCTGAATTTTGTTAGTGCTTCTGCCTCTACTTCTGCTGCTGCTGCTGCGGCTGAATTTTGTTAGTGCTTCTGCCTCTACTTCTGCTGCTGCTGCTGCTGAATTTTGTTAGTGCTTCTGCCTCTTCTTCTGCTGCTGCTGCTGCGGCTGAATTTTGTTAGTGCTTCTGCCTCTACTTCTGCTGCTGCTGCTGCGGCTGAATTTTGTTAGTGCTTCTGCCTCTACTTCTGCTGCTGCTGCTGCGGCTGAATTTTGTTAGTGCTTCTGCCTCTACTTCTGCTGCTGCTGCTGCTGCTGAATTTTGTTAGTGCTTCTGCCTCTTCTTCTGCTGCTGCTGCTGCGGCTGAATTTTGTTAGTGCTTCTGCCTCTACTTCTGCTGCTGCTGCTGCGGCTGAATTTTGTTAGTGCTTCTGCCTCTACTTCTGCTGCTGCTGCTGCGGCTGAATTTTGTTAGTGCTTCTGCCTCTACTTCTGCTGCTGCTGCTGCTGAATTTTGTTAGTGCTTCTGCCTCTTCTTCTGCTGCTGCTGCTGCGGCTGAATTTTGTTAGTGCTTCTGCCTCTACTTCTGCTGCTGCTGCTGCGGCTGAATTTTGTTAGTGCTTCTGCCTCTACTTCTGCTGCTGCTGCTGCGGCTGAATTTTGTTAGTGCTTCTGCCTCTACTTCTGCTGCTGCTGCTGCTGCTGAATTTTGTTAGTGCTTCTGCCTCTTCTTCTGCTGCTGCTGCTGCGGCTGAATTTTGTTAGTGCTTCTGCCTCTACTTCTGCTGCTGCTGCTGCTGCTGAATTTTGTTAGTGCTTCTGCCTCTTCTTCTGCTGCTGCTGCTGCTGCTGAATTTTGTTAGTGCTTCTGCCTCTACTTCTGCTGCTGCTGCTGCTGCTGAATTTTGTTAGTGCTTCTGCCTCTACTTCTGCTGCTGCTGCTGCTGCTGAATTTTGTTAGTGCTTCTGCCTCTACTTCTGCTGCTGCTGCTGCTGCTGAATTTTGTTAGTGCTTCTGCCTCTACTTCTGCTGCTGCTGCTGCTGCTGAATTTTGTTAGTGCTTCTGCCTCTACTTCTGCTGCTGCTGCTGCTGCTGAATTTTGTTAGTGCTTCTGCCTCTACTTCTGCTGCTGCTGCTGCTGCTGAATTTTGTTAGTGCTTCTGCCTCTACTTCTGCTGCTGCTGCTGCTGCTGAATTTTGTTAGTGCTTCTGCCTCTACTTCTGCTGCTGCTGCTGCTGCTGCTGAATTTTGTTAGTGCTTCTGCCTCTACTTCTGCTGCTGCTGCTGCTGCTGAATTTTGTTAGTGCTTCTGCCGGTTTAGTGATTCCGTCGCCGCCACTGCGACTTCCGTTGTCGCCCCTGCGACTTCCGTTGTCGCCACTACGACTTCCGTTGTCGCCCCTGCGACTTCCGTTGTCGCCACTACGACTTCCGTTGTCTCCCCTTGATCCTGCTGGCAGCATCATTTGGCTCATCTGCTTATATGGCTGGCTGTTTGGTGGTGGGTCTGATCTACTTGCCTCCCACCGCTTTTGGAGCTGTATCTGCGTCCTAATCCTTGAGGGCGGTGGCGTTCCTACGGATGCCGATAACTCGGTCTCTGGCCAGGTCTCACGCAAACGCTATATTATATCAAATTTCTATTTATAATCTGGCTGCTGCTCTGGCGCATGGTGTACGAATGGTGTTGTCATTTTCCACAGGAGCTTGACATGGAGTGGCCACCGCAGCACTTACTCAACGGCGATGAAGGTCACAGCACAGAGGAAGGTGAAAGTACGTGCAATCATACCAGCGAAGAGGACACCGAGGTTACCACGGAGGAAGACGAGTACGAGGAACGGCTGCTGAGGCGACCCAGTCAGCACGGTACGTTCATGTCACCAAGCCTCTAGCACCTATTTGGAATACAGTGTTCTGTGGGCTGTAAGGTCTCGCCCTTATTTAGAATACAGTGTTCTGTAGGCTGTAAGGTCTCGCCCTTATTTAGAATACAGTGTTCTGTGGGCTGTAAGGTCTCGACGCACATCTTTTGCTTCATTTGATGTTCATTGACAATCAAACAGCCGTCACCATCACTTTCACACTGGCTTCCCACAGAATCATCAGAGAATCCGTCCAGAAGTAACTAATCCTGATTCAATGCACAAAATGGGGACCCCCCCCCCCCTCTAATCAGCTCGTCTTAGCCAGCTAGTATTAGAGTGCTTTCATAGGACAAAAAGTCCAGTGTGTGCTGCACCAATTTTTTAAGCTACCTTTTATGAAAGGGGGTTTGTCAACTGACAACCGTTCTATTTAGCACAGCGTATTCTTCCTTTTATGAAAGGGGGTTTGTCAACTGACAACCGTTCTATTTAGCACAGCGTATTCTTCCTTTTATGAAGCTAGATGTATTTTTTGCTCTACTAACTTTTAAACTCCTTGTAGATGCCGGACTATAAGCATTCCGTGTTGGTCAAGGAAAGGTGACAAATGTATTGTCTCAAAATAATGCAGAAGTTGCTACATCTGTCTCTCTGTCTCTATAATTATTATATCTGTCTGCAATTATATCTTCTTTGGCAGATATCAAGGAAAGACAAAAGCAAATTCTGCTCACACAGGTGAGGCATCTTCTACTTGATAATCTTCCATCTGTGGAGAGTGGAGGTCATTGGTATACGTTTTGATGCCATGCCTATCCATGTTATCTGTCTGTTTGTCTATGTGGATATGTGGATATGTGGATATGTGGATATTTTCTGTATGATGTGCCCAGTTATCTAAGACCATCAGGCTGCACAGAGCTTGATGTCCAGTGGACAGAGCTTGATGTCCAGTGGACAGAGCTTGATGTCCAGTGGACAGAGCTTGATGTCCAGTGGACAGAGCTTGATGTCCAGTGGACAGGTGCAGTACATGTAATACAATACCTGCACTGTCACATGGCCATGACGCAATCAAGTCCATTTCTGCCGTTACTCAGAGTTTCGTGTTGTGAAACGCTCATCCAACAGCATGATGAGTACTGCATGTATGGTGTGTGTGTGTGTGTTTGCGTGTGTGTGTGTTTGTGTGTGTGTGTGTGTTTGCGTGTGTGTGTGTGTGTGTGTGTGTGTGTGTGTGTGTGTGCGTGCGTGTCGGAGAGGCGGATGCAAGCCTGTTGATCGTGGTCACTTTCAACATGAGTGAAAGTGTGGGAGACGTTTTCATTGGCTCCGTGACATCCGGCGAGATGTCTGCAGGGCGTTCTGACTGCGCACTCTCCTCTCCTCCCCCGCATCGGGGCGGCATAGCCAGTTACTGGCAGCCGTACACAAGGTCAATATGTGTGTGTATGTGTGTGTGTGTGCATGTGTGTGTGTGTGTGCGTGTGTGTGTGCGTGCGTATGTGTGTGTGTGTGTGTTCATGTGTGTGTGTGTGTGTGTGTGTGTGTGTGTGTGTGTGTGTGTGTTTGCATGTGTTTGCATGTGTGTGCATGTGTGCACGCTTGTGTGCATTTGCGATACATCTGCTCCAGATTGGTCGCTTGAAACAAGAAGTTCAGACACTTCAGCAGGAGCTCAAGGAACGGAAATCCGACACATCGACGGCTGATTCAAGCAATGCTGTTTTATTGCGTGAGTAGAAGATGACGCGAGTGACGATGTAAAATATATGGATAAGTGTGATGACACGGCTTGCAGTCTACCATGCATGCCACCTAACCTTCATTCGGACGACTGGACAGTACTGTTGATCGTTTTTCCATGCACGGACAGTTCTACGCAGACACTGTGGGACTTGGTTCTAAAGACCACCTGGCTTTAACGACCGCTTTTGCTTGCACCGTGGGGTGGTCGCTTAAACCAGGTTTTACTGTACAGAGGGATGCGGTGCTTGGTGGAATTTCTAGGCTGTTTGTTCTTCGGCTCTTCGTTCTTCGGTGTCCGACAGTACTGTAGACAGTCTGAACTTTCTTTATGTTCGTGTGAGTGTGTGTGTGTGTGTGTGTGTGTGTGTCTGTGTCTGTGTGTGTCTGTGTCTGTGTGTGTGTGTGTCCGTGTTTAACCGTCTGCACATCTGAACTTTCTTTATGCTCGTGTGTGTGTCTGTGTTTAACCGTATGCACATCTGAACTTTCTTTATGCTCGTGTGTGTGTCTGTGTTTAACCGTCTGCACATCTGAACTTTCTTTTGTCCGTGCGTATGTGTTTGACCATCTGCTTTTGTGTTTTTGTATGTCTGTCTGTGTTTGCCTCTCTGCGTCTCTCCTTGTCCACCCACTTTCTATCATTGTCGTGCCAAAGATGGTTTTATTTCACACCATGGGTTGTATCATGCGCTACATCTGGTGTTGTTTAAGATCGTCTTCGCGTTTTTTCGAGCCGACAGCTGAGGCCTTCCTGATACGAACAGACCTTTCGATTGTTGAATTCGGACAAGAATTGACCGAATGGCGAAAGTTTGAAGTCGCCTCAGCATGCACTGTACAGTCTGACGGATTAATCCGTCCTATCGGTGTTAAAGGGTTAAGATCGCTGATGCTCTTTGTTGTTGCTGCTGTTGTCCTGCAGGAGACACGACGCGGCTGCTCAATGATTACAAAGCGAGAGTTGAATCAGCCGAGACTGATCAAGAGCGCTTGACTAGCCAGGTGAGGAAGCTTGGGCACATTTCTCAGTACAGGACCTTCTTTAACCACTGCGGTTGTCACAGTCATTTCTCAGTAACCTCGCTGTCGCTTCCGTTTCTCGTAGAATTGTTCATGTTGTGACAGAGTTTAGCCGTCTGTGATGTTTCCTGTGTTTGATTTGGACATTAAAAAATTGTAAAATGATTGCAGCCTCTGTTTCCACAGGTTTGAGGGAAAGATTCAGACGGGAATCTGTTTCGTTAGTGTTCGCACACTACACTCAGTTTCCGATATGTCTTCCCAGCAGTTTTCCAGCTTCATGTTCAGCTTACGTTGTGTCATACTGCATCAGTTTGGTCTGACTTGCTACCATGTGTATGTTAATAGGCCTTGTTCAACGTTCTGAAACTCTCCTGTTATCGGACCAATTACAGGCTGTCCCGTAGCATCCCAGCAAATTCCTCATGGTTGTCGCCGTGTTCTATTCGTAGTACAGGAAAACCTGGTGTAAGCGACCTCTGTGTTAGCGACCTCTGTGTTAGCGACTACCTGCTCTTAACCACCGTTTTTCCATGCACCGACAGTTCTACACAGACACAGTGGGACCCGGTTCTAAAGACCACCTGGCTTTAACGACCGCTTTTGCTTGCACCGTGGGGTGGTCGCTTAAACCAGGTTTTACTGTATGGTCAGATAGAGTGTTTGGTTGTGTGGCTTGGACAGGCAACCATTTTTTGTCGGGATTTTTCTGGTACCACAATTTTTTGGCACTTACATGTAGAACCATATTTGGCACCCTCGCCTCGACTTGGTCGAGTCCTCTTTCTGGCTGCTCCCAGCATCTGCCCTGGTGCAGACATCACCAAGCTCGGGTAGAGCTCTCTGACCTTGATGCTTTGAGGAGAGGGTTTAAAATACCAAGTTGTTCAAAAAACGTTCTTCTTGAAATCGGCTCGGCCGGAGACTTTGAGCTCGGCTGATGAGACCTGAGGAGGTCGAAACAAGCACTTCAATTACCTGTACTGTGGTTTTCACATACTTCGTATATCCTGCTCTTTTCTTGCTTGCTTTAAATTCATGATCTAAGATGCAGTCAACAACAGTCGTGTGCTAATTGTTGCCTACCACCACGTATCTATCTCTTGTGTTGCCTTGTCCCTTTGTTCTTTCTCCTGTCCAGGTGGACATGCTGGAAGCCCAAGTCAAGCGCTTAAAGGGCCTGCAAGAGGAGTCTGTAAGTAGTTGCACGTGTTCTTAACGCTTGCCCTTTCGCAGGCACAATGTGTTCCGGGATGCTGTCCTGGTGTGTGTGGGCGCATTGACCCCCCCAGAACCGTAACGCTCACCACCACCACTGCATGAATTTTTCAGCAAAATCTCCTTTGTCAATCCAGCAACAACTTTAAGCTACTCCAAGTTTGCTGATAAAGGCTTTTCGCTCCCTGTGACAAATCAGTACAAGGCCAGTTCAAGTTTAAGTACTAATAGCTGATGGATGAAGTACTAATAGCTGATGGATGAAGTACTAATAGCTGATGGATGAAGTACTAATAGCTGATGGATGAAGAAGTTTTAAAGATAGTCCGGATGATGTTTGTGCAGCTCTTACGAAACTTCTTCGAATGCTGAGAATTGCTGATGGATCGCCTCTTGCCCCATCTTGCACTCCGATCTTTGGAAAATGGGACAATTCACTACAATTCAAGCCTAGCTTTTCCCTGGCAAAATATATTCTGAGTACAAGTCACACCCAGATTTTTTGTCACGAAATACAGACATCCACCCTGTTTATTACCGTTGATTTGACCGGCATCGTAGTATAAGCCGCTCCGGACTTTTTCGGGTGATCACTGGTGTGGAAAGTGAGGCATATACTCCGGAAAGTACAGTTCTTCGTTGACCGATTTGCAGATATAGGATCCTGCCGGGCTACCGTTCCGTTATTCCCTACCACTAGATGTCAGAGCAAGTTGAGGTATTGTTTTGGTCAACCTTTTGGAGCAATTTGCTTAGCAGCCGAGGCCCCTTTTTCATCCAACACTGTCTGGCTCCTCTTCCTTTCCCAAGGTCAAGGTCTATATCTCACTTCACGTTGTTCTTCATGTTGTATTACACTCGCAGGAGGCAATGGAGGACGAACTGAAGCTGGAACGGCGCAAGTTACAACGTGAGGTATGTTCTTGATTCCCGTCGACATGCGTTCTATCTAGACTTACACATGCGATACACGACGAAAGTAAAGTCCTATCTTGTTATGATGGAGAATGTCCTGGTTCATGCACTCTTGTTGTTATGATGGAGAATGTCCTGGTTCATGCACTCTTGTTGTTATGATGGAGAATGTCCTGGTTCATGCACTCTTGTTGTTGTGACTCAGAATGTCCTGGTTCATGCACTCTGCCTATGACCGGCATTGGGCACTTTAGCAGATTAAGGTGCGCTGTCTCAGTGCGCACTATAGATTTGTACAATGATACGGTATTACATACAGTCAACTTCG